GGACACGGAAAAAAAAAAAAAAAAAAAAAAAAAAAAAAAAAAAAAAAAAGGACACTTCATAGTTTCATTCCTTTTCTCGAGTCAACAGAAGTTCCCAAGGTTTTAGGTAATTCCCAAAAGGTTTCAACATCCAATCTGCTCTACTTTCAGGACCTGACCTTGATTTCAACTTCTTACATGCCTTATGATTCAAAGTTAGGACTTTTGAAGTATAAACTCAATTTTTAGAGATTGGTTGGTTTTAAGAATACAGAGACCATGTTGACATAAATTAAGCAATGTGCTATCACCTCCAGCTAAGCTACAGGTGTAATCAAACACTATTTGATCCCTCTGCAACTTTTCTAGCTTCCTTGCTTCTTTCAAGTCTTTCAAGTCCCACTAAAAAGAATTTACCATAAATGTTTAGTGGCTCATTTCTATGCAGCAGACAAGCCCCAGTTTCAGAGACTACAACTTTAGTCAGCAGGCCAGCTTTAAATACCTGTAGTTGGCCAATATCTAACAGAACCTGCTGCATTTTCTACAAAGAATAAGGAATATTTATCATTATATCAATATTCCCAAAAATAATCAAAGGCAAATAAAGCATACTGCAACCAAAAGAAAAGTTAAGAGCCTTTTTTTTTTTTTTTAAAGATTACTGATAAGGGGATCTAAACCCTTGACTTGGTGTTGTCAGCACCACGCTCTCCTAAGTGAGCTAACCGGCCATCCCTATATAGGGATCCGAACCTGTGGCCTTGGTGTTACCACCACCAAACTCTCCCAAGTGAGCCACAGGCCAGCCCGAAAAATTAAGTAGACTTGACTATCAGTGGCAATTAGGTTTTGAAGAACAAAGGCATTCAGGAAAGGGGCTGGCACACATCACTCAGAATTCAAGATGGGCTTTCCTGCATATCTACCATAGCAACAGATAGAAAATGTGTAAAATGGTTTATGGGAACTGCATTGTGTATAATTAGGGCCTTGGGAAAACCAGATTTAATCATTTACACAGATATCTCCAAAGAAAATGAAAAAGAACAAAATATGGAGAGGAATGTTAGGACATGTAGGTTCTGAAATGGACAAACCTCTGTATTACTCAAATACTTCAAAAGATATCACCTTTTTAAATTAATCTTGCTCTTTAGCTCCACAGAGTCAACAGGAAATGAGAGACTGCTATTAGCAAAGAGATACAGCAACCAATAAAAGAACAAACATACAAAAACTTACAAATGTTTACAAAAGACCAGAATGCAAACATGAAACTGTATGAGAATAAAATGGAATTATATTTAAGCATAAATAGGATTCTTCAATACTGTAGTTCACCCCCTGTAATAACTCAGCGTCAGTGTTTTTTATTTATGTGTGAGCCCATCTTCCTGGCAGACAAATTGACCTAAGATGCAGTCTTTTATTCTACTGCTCTAATATATTCATAATTATAGGACTGGGGGAAACAAAACCTAGACGTTTGAGGATGGAATTGGGCTGACACTCACCACAAACTTCTCACCATTCTGCTCCACATGTTTGTATGTGGGCACCGATATGGGCACTGCTTGCTTTTCTGTGTAATCATAAAATGACTGTCCCAACGAGTCGTCACTGGGATCTAGGTTATCTGCCTCATGAGGAGGTACAGATAACACTGTCAAGATCAATTCCTTCTCGCCTGCTCGGATCAGGTCCACCACCTGCTTGTGTGTCGCCCCCTCAACATTCACGCCGTTCCTAAGGGGAAAAAGGGAAAAAGACAATCCCATAAACCAGAAGGGTCCAAACACCTTGTATCTCCACCCTCCTATACCCGCTGCAGTCTCACACAATATGAACCATAAAATAAAAAGATTAATTTGGTTCCAGAAAAGTTGTTTACATTTTTACAGATGCTAATGTAAAAAATTGTTTGTGAACTCATAGCAAGGGGGAAAAATGGAAACAAGAGAGAGGACCTACCCTTCCTCTACATTAGAATTCCATTCATAGCTTCTGGAAAGCACATGGGAAAAGAGGGTGAAGCTGAGGAGGAAACAAAGCTTTCAAGCTAAACAGTCCAATATCCTCATCCTAACTAAGCATGTATACAATATAATCAAAGAGGCTTTTGACAGTTCTGCCATTTGAACTGTACTCTTTGTCCTTTTAAACCTTATGGGAATTCTGTTAAAAGAAACTTGACAAAATGCATTCCCTTAATTTGTAAATAGAGACTCAAAAAAAGTATGACAAGATAATTCCTTTACATTTATATTCAATTTCTCCCCATATTCTCAAATTAGTCAAGTTAAATTTCCCTTATATCAAATTTCATTACCTTGGGAGTTAAACAGCACTAATCTCATACACACTAGTTTCCTCTATCATTTGGGTTTTGCTTGTTTGCTTTTTTTTAAAGGCAAGGAGATTTACTTGTCTAAAATTTCATTATCTGATCCAACTTCCTTTGTTCTCCCAATCACTTCAATTAACCTCTCAGGACTCTATTTCTTCCTGCTCTGTGCTATCTCACCTACAGCACTGTATAAACAGTCCAAACTAAAAAATATATACTTAAGGTTATATAGTAAACCAGTCCTACTCATTCTCCTTCCTGTTTCACTGAATATAAAAGGTTGAAACAAGGAAAAGTACAAGGTTTGGAAGAACAATAATTTTATCAAGAAAGATGCTGAGTCTCACAAAACTCACTCAGCAAACTGAACTACCTTCCCAGAACGGTTACCCAGCCTGCCATCTCAGCAAAAACCACTGGGCAACTGGCCTGGAGATTCCCTCCCACGGCTATCCCAACAGAGTTAGGAAATACACACCTGGCCTCTGATCAATTTAATATTTAAAGCCTATCTACCCTTTAGAGTTACATTCTTTTTCAGTCCTGTCCTAAACCATTAGGGTTTTTCCTTCCTGAAAATGATGCTAAGTTTAGTAACAAGCCTTCCCATAAACTTTTCAGTCACTGGAATTGTCTCTATCAGAGTCCAGTATCTGAAATATCCATTTATATAAACAGAACAAGCAGGAGATCACACAGCTAGCCTGCTTCCTTATTTTCAGTTTAACAATCTAGCCAGTAAATTCAGCACTCTTGACATTTCACAACCTTAAAGTCTAACAAACACAAAAGAATTCAATATGCTAGCTGTAGAAGAAAATAAAGAGCTCCTTCCATTGATGGAAATTTGGGCCTTTTATTCAGATCAGGTCAGACTAGGGATCAAAAACCATGAATCAACTCTGATCATACAGCAGGATAGTAAAATGGAAATAAAATGGCCTTTAGAGCTAGATCCACATGAGTTCAAATCCTGGCCCTGTTAGAAATTGGTCTTGATGGAGTTATTTAACCTTTCTTAGCCTTGTTTTCTACATCTGTAAAATGGGGACAGTAATAAATCCCTAACAGAGTTGTTTTGAGAATTAATGTAATAAAAGATGTAACTTGCCTTGAACGATGCCTAAACACTTGCATCAGGTCTGAAAAGGAAAGAAATACTATGTATGTAGAGACTTTGGTTAAAGAAGAAATGGAAACCTAAAGGTAGGGATCAGCAAAGATTTCATCTAATTGTTTGGGCCTTAGTTCTGAGAAAATGTTTGAATGGTAGAAGAAATAAATTGAAAAAGCAAAGGTTAGAAATCACCAGAGAATTTCATCTATCCCTAGGAACCTTAGCTTACTCACAAATATCCATGTTAATTTTTCTTAAAGTAGGAAAAACTCATACCTTAGAGATTGAACAAAACATCTTGGATACTAAAATGAGGGGTTTTTTTTGTCAGTGGAATCAATTTTATGAGATGTGCACTTGTGAAAAAAAGTTAAAGAAATAATGGTCAAATTTTACTTTTCAGCTCCCTGATTTTTTTCCATTTGAAGGTTTTTAATCTGGGATACTCTGTCAATAGGTTTGAGAGCCAGTGAATCTACAAAACTTATATGTAAAATTGTATTTGTATGCATATTATACTTTTTTTTCTGGGATAAATTCCCATAGCTTTCATCACCTTCAAAAAGAAATATATAATCTTTAAAAAGATTAAGAACTATTGATTTCAAACATATACCTCTTCCCATTCAGTTTTCAAATCAAGATAACACACTGCTCCTCGGGTCACTCATGAAACTAAGCCCTGAAAAACTGTCAGAGAAACTCAAGTGAAGCTTACAAGAGTAGCCAGGGAGCAAGGGAGCTTCAAATTGGCTATCATCCCAAAAACTTCTTTAAAAAAAAAAGACAGGGGGCCGGCCCGGTGGCGCACTGGATAAGTGCGCCGCTTGGGAAGCGTGCGGCGCTCCCGCCCGAGGGTTCGGATCCCACATACGGACCAGTTCCAGCTCACTGGCTGAGCGAGGCGCGGGAGCGACCCCGAGGGTTGCGATCCCATTGCCGGTCCCGGTCTGGTACGGGCGCAACACTGAGTGTTGCGATCCATTGCCGGTCACGAAAAAAGACAAAAAGGAAAAAAAAAAAAGAATTGGTGGGTCTATTAGAACACATTGTAGTCCATAGGGAGTCTCAGCTTGTTATTTAAATTATGGTATTCTTTTCCATATAAGGGAAATGACTACCCAAATCTTCTTGACAACTGAGTTAATTTAGGGGATATCTCTATTCAAGCAACAAAAGAGAGCATTTTATTCTTCTATTTTCTCCCTTTTAAAATCCTAGGGTTTTGCAAGGACGGAAAAAGACAAAAGACAAAAAAAAAAAAAAAGACAGGAAAGAACTTCCAGTGTCATATTCTAAACACACTTGCTAACAGTTACCTGGCTCAACTATAGAAGGAATATTATACACTCTACAGCTTAATACAAAGTGGGAAATTCCCTCATTCTTCAGAGAATTAAATAAGGTCAGTAAAATGGCCAGGATGTCTGATTTGAAAAAGGGCTTTCCCCCCTCAAGAACTAAAAGGTCTTCACAGTCACAGAAATGTTTGTCATAAAAACATTTACATGACATACTCTCTTCCACAAAAATGCTACTGTTCCAGGATCTAATTAGGTATGGCCCAATACTTTGTTCAATTCTGAAGACATAAACAAATGCAAAACATAAATTCCGCAATGAGGGGGAACTTTCGGCAGTATAGACTTCTGGTTCAAAGCATGGGTTTTGGAGTCAGATTTGGGTTTGAATACCAATTGTGTCATTTAACAGATAAGACCTTAGGTAAATTACTAAATTTCATTAAGTCTCGATTTCCTAATCCATAAAATGAAGGGAATAATACCTATAGCTAATAGAGTTGTGAGAACTAATATGAGGGGAAAAGCTCTAGAATATGATAACCACTCAATAAAAAGTAGCTATTTGTATTTTAAGACTGTGTTTATATCAGTCAGGCAAGCAGGTTAGTAGTATTTTGGTTTCCCTGATGATATAAAATGCTTTCTACCACCAGTTTTACTTTCTTCTGTTTTAGTAACATAATGTAGTTGGAATTCATTTGAAAATAAATGATTGAGCACTCTACCAATGAAGGTGGCTATCTTGTGATAGCCATTATCATAAGACCACTGCATCAGAAAACCACTAAGTCCCATACCACACAAAAGTATCTACCGCCAGTAGGATCTACCAATCTATGCTTCTTCCAAAAAAAGGCAGTAGCTTAAAATACTAATAAAAAAAAATTCAACAGATGTGTGATTAAGCAAATATAGCAAAATGTTAATTATAGAATCTAGGTGGTAGGTATACTAGTATTCACTGTACAATTCTTTAAACTTTTCTGTGTTTGAAAATTTTCATAATAAAATGTTGAGTGGAAAAACAAAGGCTGCCCCAAATTCCAACAATCCACAAATAAAACCAAAATTTTGTTTCCTTAGGCCACTAGATGATACCCAATTTACCATATGTCTTCAGCACTGTAAAGATACATTGATAATTTTAATAAAATTCTCACTTTTACTTAAGACCAACATTCAGCCCCAATGGAGAGGCCTTTAGCTATAGAATGGGAGTGGCTTCAAATAAGACTTCTGTTCAACCAAAGTTAGCCAGCTGGGGAAATTGCAAAGCTAATATAAACACTCCCAGAAGCAGGAGGAAAAGGTTTAGTCAGGATTTCATACTGCTTGTGAAGAAAGCTGTATATAATGAAAACCAAGTATGGATGAAAATACAATAAAGCCAATCCTATATGTACCACAGCAAGGAGACACTCTACATGGTAATCAGAATACTATTTTGACTTCCTGTGACATACAAAAAAGTAATTAAGGGGTAATTAGTCCCTCAGAGGCAGCCCGTTAAAAATAGACAATAAATTCCTATAACTGCAAGCAATAAGACATACTTTTTAATTTTATAGATTAAAACACAATGGCTACATACCTACAAGAATGGCTAAAATAAAAAAAAGAGTAACAAGGATGTGGAACTGGAATTCTCATACATTGCTGATAAAAGCATGAATTAAAAACAACCTGGCAGTTTCTTATAACATTAAACACACATTTACTATATGACCCAGCAATTACACTCCTAGGTATTTACCCAGGAGAAATGAATACACGTTCACACAAACAATTGTAGTCGAATGTTCACTGCAGCTTTATTCATAATAGTCCAAAACTGAAAACAGCCCAAATGCCTATCACAAGGTGAACAGATAAACAATAACAGATATACAACTATTCATCACAACATGATGAATCTCAAAAACAGACTGAGTACTCAGACCTAGAGTCCAGATGCTTGTAAGATTCGAGTTGGGTTTAA